GACCACACATCCGGGAGCTGCGGACCTGAGCAAACATCTCACTTGCCAGCAGCTTAGGTATCTACCTGCTCACGCAATGCATGTCTAGGGACTTGGATCGCGGGCTAAACGTACATCGTGCGTACCCCTCCTCCTCCTCCTCCTCCTCCTCCTCCACCTCCTCTTCGTCTTCCTCTTCGTCTTCCTCTCTGCCCCCCACCACTACTTCGTATAGCGGTCAACGCAAGGCAAATCCAGGTCTACACGACATGACAACGCGATCCTAGTCCAGAACAATCACCTCTCCCAACTGCCTCTCTCCCTCCATCTGCTCCTCTACACTCACTCCGACGAAAAGCCAATAACAAAGCACCCTCCCACTCTCTCGTCCCTCCGCCAACACTCCGAGAGGATGTGTCCTACTGCGAGTGTACGTGTAGGATGGCGGGGACGTGCCATGTGGACATATGGGAAGCCCGATCCCAACCCTTCTCACATGCCTACCCCCGGCCACGATCACCCTCCTGGCCACGATCGCCTCCTAGCTTCGATCGACTACAACGCACAAGGCTCCTCTCAGTGGGCAGAGATCGTGACGAAATATCGAGGTGTGTGGGGGGCGCCAGCATGTGCACTGCAAAACATAAAAAAACGTGGAGAAATAACGTGATGCACATTACCATGTCATCACTTGATCCGGCACCATCCCGGTAACATGACAACAAGTCACAAACAAGTCAAAACTGCTGAGAGACGACGATAACATTTCACTGCTCGTGGTTCTTACTGGTGGGAAAGAAGACTCATTGAAAATTTATCTGGCGGGAACCTGTGCTGAAGAAGCGCACAACGACTGAAGGAGTGGCCATTTCCCATGTGATCCAACCAATCTGCCCTAAAGGAAAGGTTTCATATCTTGTTGTTCCTCTTCCCGCTCGAGACCCATTCTCTCTCTTTTTTTCAACTTCCTCGTATACATCGTGATCTTGCGTCACTCTCTCCTTCGTTTCCCCCCTCCATCAATAGCTGGCTGGTCTCGAGGCCGAAAAGGAAGAGAAAAAAAAAAAGAAAGCATGTACAAATCACTCAGCCCGCTGGCCAATGTAATCCCCCAACTCCAAGATCTCATGCCGTGGCCGAGATCGTTTTTGCTTGCGTGTATGCGATAGCAAAGCCATGTCGCCTTTACTCGATGAGGCCGCCGTCTCGCGGAAGCGTGATCGAACCAATGCTGGCGTCTTCTTCATGGCGTCAAAAGGGTTGCATGTGTGAGAGAGTTTTTTGAGGTGTGCCGCACTCCAGGAAGAAGTATTGTACAGTTAGAATAACAAGTGGCATCCAGACGGCGCAAGGGCGAGGGTGTGAAGTTGAGAAGTGTGCATCTGGGGAGAGCGGAATATCCTGGAGAGTGACAATCGTAGGTGTAGTGACAGCTTAGACATCCCACTCCTCCTCCTCAGTGCTGAGGGCGGAGAAGGATCCAAAGTTGGACGTGACGGGCTTCGCAGCCTTGCCGTTGGAGGCAGGCTTCTGGACGGCCTGGGCGATGGGACGAGCCGGAGCAGGAGCGGCGGCGGCGGCGGCGGCGGCGGGCTTGGCAGCCTCGGGGGAAGGGGAGCGGTTCTCCTTCTTGGACTTCTTGGACTTGGCCGGAACAGTGTTCCACTCGTCCTCCTCCTTGAGGCGCTGGATCTGCTCCTCCTCAGAGGGAAGGGAAGAGATCCAGTTGTTGGTCTGGGCAGGAGCGGCGGCAGAGGTGCCGTTCTGGGCCGGAGCATCGAAGGTGTCGAGAGGCTGAACAGCAGCGGAGGTGCCGTTGGTAGCAGAAGCACCGTTAGGGGAGCCGGCGGTCCAAGCGGACTTGTTGCCGTTGACGCTGGCCATGAACTGGGAGCCGTCCTTGGCGGGGATGCCGGCGGCCTCGCGGGCGGTGCGGCGCTGCTTCTCGAGCTTAACCTTGCGCTCCTTCTCCTCCTCCTCGCGGGCGGCTCTCTTGGCCTCCACCTTTTGGCGGTTCTGGCGCTGCTTCTTGGTCTCAGCCTGCTCGGGGGCCTTCTGCTTCTTGGCCTTGGGCTTCTCCTTATCGGTGCCGGTCAGGCGGAGGACAGAGGGACCGGATGAGGTGGGCTCGAGCATATCGTTGACGCCGCTAGGGTCGGCAGGGGTAACCTCGGGGGACGCGGCAGGGGAGCTCTCCTCCTCTTCCTCAACAGCCTCGACGGCGGGGGCAGAGGGAGCGGTGGGCTCCTCCTCCTCAGTGACCTCGACAGGCTTCTTCTCAGCAGCATGCGATTGCTTGACGGACTTGGTCTTCTTCTTCTTGGCGTCAGCAGCAGATTTGCCATCAAACTTCTTGCCCTCCTTGACACTAGCCATCCTCTTGGCGAAATCGGCATTATCAACTTCCTCCTTAGGGTCATTGCTCAGCCATGTGCTAGAAGGATCAACTGCGCTCGTAGAAGCCTTCTCCTCGGGCTTTTGTGAAGCAAAGGCGGCCTTTCGCTGCTTCTTTGCGTTGGTGTCCTTCTTGGGCTCAACATATGCCTTGGCAGTCTTGGCAATCTGCGCAGGCTTCTTCTTGCCGGAGTAGTTGTAGATCAAGCCACCAGCGACGAGGAAGCAGACAAGGTAGCCGCCTACGGTTTGGGTGTTGAGGAAGTCGGAGACCGTCATTGTTGCGATTGTGGATGGCGCAAAAACGCTACCAGATAGGTATTAAGGGGTATGATAGATTATGCAACGTGGTGCAGTTGAAGACAGCAAAGACCACGGTTTGTCGGATCAAGGGCCGTAAGCTCAGGGTGCCGTTGAGGGTCACGGTATATCTTCGATGCCTCACTGATGGAGAAGTTGTGGAGAGAGATGCGGATGACTGGATAATGGACAAGTTAGCAATGGAGTCCAATTTGTGCTGAGCTCTGCACACGGGAGCAGATGATCCGAGATGTCTGGGGCAAGCGCCGATCGGGGGACATACAGGTGGAAGGTGCGCAAGGGAGATGTGGGCGCAACAATGGATGGGTTGCTTGAGGATGAAAGGTAGGGTGAGAGCGTTGATGCTCCGGGGGTTGTGGGTTTGTTGAAGGGGAGAAACAACAAGAATTGGGTAAAAGGGAAGAAGGGCGATTGAGGAGGCGTTTCGACCACGCGGTTGAAAGACGGCTTGGATGTCGTGTTCAGATGCAGGTAGCTTGGCAAGGAGAGACAGGCCGAAAAAAAAAAGTTACCAGGTGGCTTCTCAGCAACTGTGCCTGTGGTGCCGCCAGTGGTCCGGTGCAGGTCCAAGGTAGGTAGAGGCTAGAGCCAGTAGCAAATGGGGTTTTTTGGCTGAGGCAAGCGCCCAGGGTTCATGCCACGGATGCAAAAGCCGACCTACGGGATAGGTTGAACCGCTGGAAAGGTCCCACGGGTAACTGCTGCTACCGCTGCGGCTGCTCGGCGTTGCTAGGTGCTCCAGGTATCCAATCTGTAAGGTGCTGCACCAAACCCTGACCTGCGTCGGGACCGAGTCTCCAGGAGTGGGAATTGCGTATGGAGTATGAGGACTGGTGTCCTCTTTTGCCGCAGGTCCCCAGGGATGATGTGTTTCTGGCTGGCCGAGCTCAGATGAAGCAGCAAGATAAAAAGCGAGACGAGGGAGTGTGTGACGAGAGATGCGACATGGGAAAATAACAATTGAGACAAGAACTGCACTTACTTGCTTGCTGTATGATTGCTCTTCTCAGCGATCTGGTGTTGCTCTCCTCGAGTTGAGCAAGGGAGGTAGGTGAGGTGGTGAGGTAAGGGTAGGTAATGGAGGTAGATGAGGTTATCTCCAGGGCGCTGTTAGGCAATTTCCTGGATCTCCAAAGTGACAGCTTCGCGTTTCCACGGGGTTGAGGGACATGGACCCGCCTTTTCTTTTGGGGCTCGGCTGCCAGCACGGACTCGGGCGAACATGGAGAGTGGGGATCAGGTCACGTGATTGAGAGGCAACAACTGATGGAAGGCAACAGAGCAATCACCAGCCCGGAAGGTGTCACTTACACGTGACTGTGATGACTTCCCCCCATAAGAACTCTCCGTGATTGGGCGGAATGATATTGAGGTCACAGTGCTTGCTGTCAGGGCATCAAGTCAATTGACAACTGCCAAACAATGTCATTGGAGACTTGTCGGACTCGGAGGTTACCTTGATTTTCCGCGGGCCTGTTAAACCGAAAGGAAAAAGCTTAGAATTAAAAATAGGGTTTTTGTAGACAGCTTTCCTTAAGTTCACGTGAGTAAGGTACCCTCACCCAAGTAAACTTCCCGAGGCCATTCCTTTTCCACGTCTCATCCAATCTTTGCAAGGTCCAGAGTTGCAACTTGCCGCATGTCAGATTCCTGTCCCTTGGCTTTCCCGATAAGAGCTGGGGCAGTTTACCCGCCTACCCTACCTGAGGTGTCCATTGCCCCCAAAGTGCCCCAAAGTCCCTTTTTCCCTAGGTTTCCCGCAGTGACCTGCCTCAAGCTTATCGACAACAACTGGATCTCGGTGGCTCAAAACGGCTTAGCGCGTTCCTTCTCTCTCCATTATTCGCACCGCAACCACAACCCCACCATACATACCATGGTCCCCTCAACGGCCATCTGATGCTTCCTATGATGAGGGGTTCGGCCGCCCGCCCAACGGCGCCAATTTCTCAATGCGACACCGACGCCCTTGCTATTGACACAAAAAAGACCCGGCGAGAAGGCAGGAACACGGAGTCACACCGTCCAAGGCACATCACATCTTCCCGGGGCGCTGGGTTGCTCATTGTAAGGTATCTACACCGGAGACAGGCGGAGACCGGACACCTCCGTTCAAGCTTAGCTCACGTGCCCGCAGATGTCCGCTTCCCCCCCACTCCCATCAAGATTCCTACATCATTAATGTTTTCCCAGCTTTCCAAAGTGATTGAACCAACTGTGTATATTGAGACGAAATCATTCTCGTCTTCATTGAACACTTTTCACTCCGTCTCTAAGAAGCTTCTCGTAAATCAAAACCCGCAGCCATGGCTCCCAAGAACCGCGTTATTATCGACTCCGACCCAGGTAAGATATGAATGAGCAAAACCTCCCCCAAAAGGGTATCATGATGTGCAAGTAAGCTCATACATCTCTCCCAGGCATCGACGATGTCATGGCTATGCTCCTGGCCCTGTCGGCCTCTCCTGAGGAGCTTGAGGTCATGATGATTTCAGTCACCTACGGAAACGTGCCTCTGCAAAGGTGAGTTTAAAGCCGCGCAAGGAGACTTTGAATGTCTTGGTCTAACCCTTTGATGATGATAAAGCTGCCTGAAGAACGTCGTTGCCCTCTTCCACGTTTTGGAAAAGGAGATTGCGTGGCGCAAGGAGAACGGAAAGCCCGAGGGCTTCGAGTCCCTCAAGGCCTACAAGCCCATCGTGGCAGTCGGTGCCGAGCACGCTCTGGAAGACGACGAGCTGGCCGCTGACTACTTCCGTAAGACACATACCTCGGTAAATCCTCCCCAGGTGTCCATCTCCTGACTCGCCTATAGACGGACTCGACGGCCTTCACGGCGTCCACGAGAAGCACCCCCACCTCTCCCCGGACGACCGCTGGCAGTCCCTCTTCCATACCGAGAAGAACGTAGACCACGACCCCTCGCCCTTTAACCAGTACTTCACCCCGGCCAAGCAGGTTGCCCACAAGGAGATCCTGCGCATCCTCAAGGAGAACGAGCCCAACACCATCTCCATCTGTGTCGTCGGCCCCATGACCAACGTGGCCCTTGCCGCCGCCGAGGACCCGGAAACCTTCCTCCGCGTCAAGGAGCTCTGCGTCATGGGCGGCGCCGTCCACGTCGAGGGAAACATCACCCCCCACGGCGAGTTCAACACCGTCGCCGACGCCGTTGCCGCCGCGCGCGTCTTCGCCCTGACGTCCCCGACCCCGCGCTCCACCATGCCGCCCATCTCGGACAAGAAGTCTTCCTTGCCCCCTTACCCAGCTAGGCTGTCCAAGAAGCTCAAGCTGACGCTGTTCCCCCTCGACATCACGACCCCGCACCTGCTCCGCCAGAACTACTTCACCGAGACCATCAAGCCCATCGTGGCGTCCGGGAGCCCCCTCGGCCAGTGGGTCAACCATTTCATGTCAAAGTGCTTCGACAAGATCATAGAGCTGGAGGGCGACGGACAGGAGCCCGGCCTCTCCCTGCACGACCCCTTGACCGTCTGGTACCTATTGACGCAGTCCGATCCCAAGTGGAAGGCCACCGCTGAGCCGGAGGACATCCGCATCGAGACCACGGGCCAGTGGACGCGCGGTATGCACGTCATCGACCGCAGGCTCCGCGTCAAGTACAACGAGGCCGCCCTCGAGGCCAGCGAGACGGGCGATGCCGTCGACGTCTTGACCCTGGCTGAGGTCCCCGGTGATACCGGCGGCTGGCTCAGCACCAGCAGGGGCAACAGGGTCAACAGGATGGTTGAGTCCCCCGGCGAAGAATTGTTTGCCCCTGACTTGATGAAGAGAATTTTCGGATAAAGATGGGGAGACAAAGGACGTATATTTTCAGCCACCCACCTCTATATGTGTGTGAGCGTGGGGGCTCTTTTGTTGTTGATGTCTCGTGTCAGCACAAACGTGGTTTTGAGACTGTAACAGCATGGAGGAAAGATCTGGATAGAAGAAGAAAGGCAGGCGCATACCCCGTAGGAAAACCCAATGTCATTCTATAGCAACCCCCAAATATGTGCAAACGCCGTTGTTCTGTGTGTGTGTGTGTAGGTGTGTGGGTGCATGCGCATGTGCAAGTGTGCATGAAATGCGCGCACGCCTGTCTGCCTGCCAGTCCCAATGGCAGCAGTGCAATTTCATGTCCTTCCCAACTCTCGGGTATCCCGCTCGTAATTAAACATCCCGTGACTCAGTATGTCACTTTCATCCTCGAAGAGCCATCTTTGCTTCTTTTTTCTTTTCTCTCTTGTGTATGCGCATGCTTCATACGTGCTTGGTTCCTCCAATAGCAGAACCCTTGACTTGGGTCCAGTCAATGCTCTCGTCTAGTGCCTCGTCTACCAGGCCGATCGTGCAGACATTGTCGCCTCGGACGAGATAGAGGCCGAGGGGCACTTCGACAGAGGGTTCGCTGCTCTCGGGGGTTTGGATGACTCGCTCTTGGGCACTGCTGAGGACCTAGGGCGCAAGATGTGTGTTACTTAGGCGCGCTCCAGAAGACGAGAGAGAGTTGTGAAGGGGGCAGGGGAAGGCGCATTACAAGGTTCGTGGACTGGTCCGCGGCTTCCAATGTGCCCACCAAGATTCGCGAATCCGACGTCACGATGAGGACTTTCTCTAGTTGGGAGAGAAGGACCGTCAGTATGTCATCCGGGAAGCAGCACTCGAGGCTGGTAGTTTGGGGAGGACGCACTGTTGAGGTAGCCTCCGAGGGTTGCCATAACTGCGGAGATCTTGAGGTCGAAGAGGTATAATATTTGGTATGGAGCTTGGGTACTTAGTCGCGTGAAGAATTGGATCGTCGGCTGCTTGGATTTGTTTGATCAGAGGGTACTCGGAACTGTCGCCAGTGGTAATATCGCAGTGTTGAATCCAGAAGTTTGGCTGGTGAAATTCGGGAATTCTGAGTGGAGGGATCTTGGAGCTCTCAAGCTAAGCCACTTGGGGCCAAGGTAAGCATGACAAGGTCTGGCCCGTGCACTCCCGATCGTTTGTCCTTTCCTTTCAATAAACCGTTAGATGTCACTAGAGCTCTCAGCTGGCATCAAAGCTATTACAACTCACTGCTACGAATTAGCCCAACATGGGCGATCGAATTGTTTCCTTGCCATCGCAACAATTAGAAGCTTATGATAGGTCGCCTTCTTCTATTCAATGATGGCTCAGCAAGATGCCGTTGACGCCAGTGCCGGGCAAGCGCCACACTCAGCCCTCACAAGTCAAAGCCCTTCGCCATGGTACCGAGATTGCTGGTCTCAAAAGGGGATGGCTGCCAAGATCCCAGGTTGAAATATCAAGCTCACTAGACTGCTGTGCCGCATGAACCTACTCGGCCTGCCATACTCACTGGGCGACGAACCCCGGCAGCGACATCACCTGCTCAATTGGGTGTGGCACTGGGCTGAGATTCGTTTTTGCGCTTTTAAAGACACCGCGATTGCCTCTTCACCGCCGTGTAGCGGGTGGTTTCGTTTCGACCATGTCTCCAGACGAGAGATATATCTCACTGTTCGCTAAGGCAACAATTCGACTCTCTTCCCCCTCGGGTCAGGATGTATAGCAGCATCACCGCGTTCCCTCGATATGAACGCATCTCCCCAAGATGACAGGCCCAGCCAGAGCAAGAAGTACACGCTCAACCAGACTCAAGAGAGAGCGGTACGGCGCTTACTGTTTCTGTGCGCATTGGTCTTTGATGCCCTAACAGTGACGCTCGTCGTCTTTCTATGCGTCGGCGCATGGACAAAGTCGGGTGGTTTGAGATCGTCAAAAGGTATCAATAACAGAGAGGCTCATCTAGCTACTGTAAGTCGGACTCGGGGTCGGGAGGACAACCATCTCTTCCCCGCCCGTCTCCATATGCATGTACTGACAATGAATGACAGTGGTCAGCGGCATACGTCCGGCGAGGGTCAGCCGACGAGACCACGGTTGTCTTCAGTTGGCACCTCAGCAGCTACTGCTACTCGCACTTAGGACGAGAGGCATGTGTTCGCCGGACTCCCGGCGCCCCCTTTGACCTCGATGACATTGTGGACGACGTCGCCTATGCAATACGAGTGGGTTCGTCCTATTCGTCAAGCAGAGGCACCTTCCCGGCTCTGGAAGCGCTAGACATTGACCTCAGGACGGCCTCCAAAGTCACTTCGTCCAAGAAGGCGTTCATCGCCTACATCATTTTCATGGTGGTAATAGCGTGCCTCTGGTCCTGGCACTTCTTCGTCGGCACGGTTCCGGGCGCACCCAACTGTGATCAATTCCTGGCCGCGTCGTTTACGGTAGCGGGGGCGGTCCTGCTCTACGCCTCGGCCCACACAACCCGTGCGGCCCTTGAGGCGGACGGCATCCTCGCCCAATACGAGAGCGTCTTCAAGTACCACAGCGCCGGTACTTCGACACTCGTCGTCACATGGATCGCCTCGGCAAGCCATTTCCTCGCGGTAACGATGTATACGGTTGCAGTGGCCATTGGCAAACGACTGCGTAAGCCAGACCGATACCCGCTAGAGTCGGAGCCGTCAGACATGGGTCCGACTAATGACGTACGCAGAGCGAGGGAGGCGGAAGTGCCAGCGGAAGTCGACAGAGATGATTCTTATACGAGGCGTCTCGAGGTATTCATGCGCGTGCGTGGTCAGAGACGAAGATCAGAACTAAGTTCCTTTCGCATGAACCGCAATAGCGGAGAATGCCGGAGGACTGATGCGAATGGCGATATCTGGTTGCCGGTTTACTCGAGGGTCGATCCGAACGCGACGCGTGCACCGGTAAAGCCAAGCGTTGCGACCGGTCCGCCTATTGGAATACCGGATGCGAGCGCGGCTACGGGTGGTCAATCTCGCGCGGGCAATGTGGTGGATGAGCCAGCGCCGGTCTATGAGCGGTATCAAACTGCGTCATCACGCCGCCCGTGAGGTACTCTGTAGGTAGATAGGATCCAAGAGTTAGGGATAGAGATGTGTTTTATGTAATATACGATGAGAAGATATATGATATACCCATATTAGTTCACGATGCTGGAATCAGATGATACACAGTCTACTTAGCTGCAGCTCAGGTCTGTAATATGTCACAAAGTCAACCTATAGCGGGAGCCGTCCAATTCAAACGGACGGGGCCGTCTCCAACCACAAGAGACCGCTGAACGGGCACCAGCTGGGTCAGGTTCCACGCTAGGTAGGGTCGCGGGCCCAAAATTCTAGCGCGACAACTCCGACTCCAGCACATCTTAAATCTGACCTCATCCGACCAACTCGTCCCTAAATTTCCTTTAATCAACCACATCTCCCGCTGCCCACGATGTCGTCTCACGATACACCAACCATCTACGCAGAACTCCTCACAAATATCCGCCAGCTCTCCGTCGCAGTCACCCTCCCCTCACCAGCAGGAGGCCAAACCAAAGCCCTCATCGCTCCGGACGGCGCAACGCTGCACATCCACCACGCAGGCACAGAAACCTCATTCCCGCTGCCCGGAAGGGTCCTCGCTCAGGCAGGAGCTCCCACAGCCTTACCCTTACCCCCACGACCGCCTTCAGCCTCATCATCATCAGCAGCAGCACCAGCCTCGCAAACGCTATCATGGCGTCTCCCGCTAGCAGACTCCCCAGCGGCGCGCAGCAGCACCAGCCCCGCAGATGACCCCGTCCCCTGGACGGCGCGGGACCTCCTTCCCGGCTCGGTCGTCGCGTGCAGACGCTGCGCCGCGGTCGTCGTGCCCGGCGGTAAAACGAGGGAGTGGAAGGACTTACCGAGTGAGAACTGGGCGGAGATGATGGACTTTTGGCACTGTCATAAGCCTAGCACGAATCATGAGGATGAGCATGAGCACGGCGCGAATGGGGAGGGCAAGGGGCACGGCAAGGAGGACCATGAGCATCTGACTAGGCGCGGGTACGGAGCCAACTCGTCCATTGCCGCGCAGCCTGGCGTCGGCATGGTGGACTTGACGTCGTTTCTGTTTTGCGAGGCTGATTGTGTTGGTCTCAAGGTAAGCGGCTCTCTTTCCCTCTCTGTTTCTTCATCTCTGTTTTGTCACTCGCATCTTCAACACATTATGTTGGGATTCGTCTCTTCGATACATGTTACCGTGTATCCTCAAGCCAGGGGGCATTAAGAAGGAGGCCATGTCGGCAGCAACACGCTACCAACTCAGTGATCTGGTCACCGATACTCCGCCCCTATATGAACCATCCAAAAAACATACGCCGTCGTCCCCTGCGCGAGCGCAGGGGAGTGCTTTCCGAAGCGCAAGACTCCGAAACCTCTACACCCCTTCGTGTGTGTAAGATGGTTTTTGGGTATTGAACTTGGGTTTGTAAAAGACGGTTGGCCCTCTCGCTTTCACTGGGGTTGTCCAGAGCCTCGGAGACCCCGGGATAAACAGCGAGGGACATTGAACGAATACTTTTTCCATTTCGCGTACACCGTCACGATCCATTTCGTATACTCTTCTTCTTCGTCTTCTCTCTTCTCTCCTTGCTTACTCTTCTTCTCTCCACTCCAGTTTTCTCTCCCATCATCAGATGCCGTACCCCAAGCATCCTCCAGCTCAGAAGTCCTAGCTGGAGGAGGAGTAGGAGACTCTGACTCTGCTTCTGATCCCACACCACCCCCGCGAATGCTCAACATCGCCTGCTTCGCCTGCGCCTCCCACCTCGGCTTCTTCAACGTAGCCATCTCCTCCGTCGTCCTACTAAAATGGCAAGTGTCATGCCAGACGATCACATCACGCCCCACGGCCGTAGCCGAGGCGGCAGCACTGCCCTCCAGCACAGACTGCCTAGCCGCGACCCTCATCGCGACCCTCTCCCGCTCAGGCTCCTCCAAATCAGTCGTCGTCCCCGCCTTCCAATCCACCCAGAACCTAGTTTCTTCTTCCAGCGATGGCGGCGAGGCTGTACCGCCTGCCCTGCACCTCTGGATCCTCAACAGTAACATCACCTACGCATCATCTTCCTTCTCTTCTTCCTCCCCTTCCTCCCCTGCCGCCTCTTACCAACGCAACAAACGCGCAGCCATCAAACTGCTATACAAAGAAATCTCCCAAGACGAAGCAGACGACATGCTCGAGTCCATGACGTCCGACGTGCAAGAGGTCAACCTCCCTCTCCCGGCCATCGTCGCCGCGGCAGAGGGGTTGAAGCGGAGTAGTGAGCTTTTACCGCCAGTTGAGCGGGGGTTTAAAGGGTGGCATGTCGGGTTGATGGACAAATGGGAGCTAGCAAGCTAGTCAGCCATTCAGCCTCGGCTGGGACGGTGGTAAGCTCGTTGATGATGTTGAATCGGGGGGGGGGGGAGCGGAGCCGAGAGCAGAGGTACAAAAAGTATATGGCCATTGGAGCGTGGGAGGAGCGAGGTACTCGAGAGAAGGAGCCAGAGAGAGAAGTGGAAATTGAAGCTGCGAAGAATGGATGGCACAAATGATACCGCATCCTTTCGAGAGATTTTGACCACGAACCTACCCTCCTCCATAGTCTAGACTCTCTTACATAGCGTAACAATAATGTAGCTCTAACCGAGCCACCCCTCCGTACAATGATCATAAGTCCTGTCAAATGAGGCTGTGCAAGGTTCAGCATTACAAGCCTCACCGAGTTCCTGATGCTATCTATGCCATTCAATAACCAAGATTTAATCAAACCGCATGATTCATCCACTACCACCGTCCGTCTGCTTTAGTCAGCGTATCGTCTTTACGTAGAGGGAGACGGCCAATATCTCAACACGAAGCACACCCTCATATCAGGACGCAAAACAGGCAAAAGGGGACATTATTGTTCGTAACTTGGCGAGCCATGAATTGGTGCAACAGCCTACAAGTTGCAATGTGAATAATACAATAAATCCTCCGCGCCGCCATTTTTTCCTTTCATCTTTTTCATCAGAAAAAAAAGATGAAAACAAGTTATATTGACAACATTCCTCCCCGCCACCACCCGCCGCCTTCCATTGCTCCTTATTCTCCTCTTTTGCATTTCCCATTCATCAGCCATCAATTCCCTCTGTAGGGTGTGAAATGGCGACAGCTGGAGAACAGAAAAAGAAGAGACAACCACCACTGCCAAAGTTCACCAAGTTGCCCTCCTGGTTTGACAACCCATCAACACCCTGGAAATGCCTCCCCTAACCCCCTTTGGATATGGTGAACAAAAAATTGATAATTACATATTCAACCCAGACAGCGTGGCATGCGCGTTGTGTTGTTGGTGTTTGAGTTCTCTGCGATATTGGTATCACGGAAATGACTGACTGCGAAGGGAACGACCTGTCCCGGGTCTCGCTCTAAAAAGAGGAATGTACAGAAGAGATGATGCTGAGAATGGAAAAGGAAAAGGAGAGAGATTGAGAGAACGGAAGACGGCGTGAGATAAGGGAAAACCATGTTCACGAGCGGATGAAGGTAATTACGCCGCCCGGGAGACATGCCATGTCTGCGGTCGTATGAGGTGTTTTGGAGTAATGAAAATAGTGTGCGCGTCGGATAGTGAGACGGATTGAGAGTGAGTTTGCGCGGGATAGTATGTGGGTGTGCGTGTTTGTGAGTGTGTAGCGACAGAGATTTGGTGATAAGTGTGAGGGATGTAACGAGTGGACTTTTGAGTGCTCTAAGCCGTCTATGCTGGAATGCAGAGGCCCCCGCCGAAAACGATGCTCCGGAAAAGACCTGGGTATAAAAAAGGACGGATCATGATTTTGAGTGTCGTGAAGCGCCATGGATGTGAGCGGAGCTCGCAGGTGTCGCACAATGGCCATTAATGTCTCATCACCGCCATGGCTTCAAGGCATTTTGTCGATTGAACCTAGAGACGATTTTGCTTGTTGATCTCGCCAAGGTTTAACCAGCTCATGTCTGAAGAGGTGGCTGCCAGGGCGAGGGGCGGCTGTTGGCTAACACCGTTGGGAGCACTGGTCTGCGTTTGCCGTTGCGGGAGGCTTGGAGCTAGCGATGTAGGGTAAAGGCTCTCGGCATAAACACTGCTTGGAGCGCGGTCCGCTCCCCAGGGCCTTGAGGGGCCGGTAGGATCCCATGTGTCCCGAACACTCTCGGGGATGCCGCTCGAGTACCCCGAAGATGCGTTCGACGTGGGTCTTCGGGGGGATTCGATCTTGCCAGAGACTCCATCGCGGAAGGGAATCTGGTTCGAGTAGTTTGACACCGTCGGGCTGCCAGAGACGACACGGCTCAGTTCTGGCCGGCCATCGTGCTGAATAGGCGGAACAGTGGACAAGTCCTGGGTGATGAGGTGCAGAGGAGGGACGGTAGCGGAGTCTTGCGTGATGCGGTTCTTGGGAGTGTTAGAGTAGTGAGAGGTCTCGGAATCGACGGTTGTACGCTTAGAGTTGCCGAATCCGAGGATGTTGAGCGCGCTGCCGCCGGACCAGTAACGGTTCCAGCCAGAGCTTCTGCGCGTCTCGCCAGCACGACCGACGGGGGCTCCTCGCGGGGTAGGGCGAGGCTCAACCACGTCGGCGGCGAACGAAACACCCTTTTCGTCGCGGGAAGGGGGTGCGAGAGCCGGTGCCTCGTTCATCTGGGGAAGGGGCTTGCCGATTGTGCTCTTGAAGAAGCTGTTGGATGTATCACGCTTGCTTCCACTGCGAGCAACACCGGAAGACTTGGGTGCATTGCCGTTGACCTTGCCCATCAAAATCGCCATGGAGGAGAATGATCCGGCCGAGTCTTGTTGCTGATGACCACGGAAGTGAGGAGCAGAGTTGAAATCGTCGTTGCCGTATCCAAGTCCAGCCTTCTCATCGGGGAAACCCCTGGGGCTCATGCCCCTCGGGTCCTGACCGCCCTCCACGTTTTGCTGGTTCTTGCCACGACGTTTTCGGATGCAGAAGAGGATCAGGCCGAGGAGGATCATGATACCGGTAATGGTACCAAGGACAATGCCAAGTATGGCGTTGGCACTGACTGCGGCGGGGGCACCAGCAGCAGCAGCCGTCTCGGTGCTGGCAGATGAAGATGCAGAGGCGGAGAGAGTCGCGGCGGCAGACGCGGACGCAGAGGCTGACGCGGACGCAGGAAGGGTAGAGATGGAGCTGGCCGAAGTGCTAGATCTGGAGCTGGAACTCGTTGCGGTTGAGCTCGCAGTGGTGCTGCTGGTCGATTCGCTTGTGGCGAGAACCTCCTGCTCGTTCAACTTTTGGGCAGCATCTTCCCAGCTATTTTGGCGCGCGTTGAAGATGCAGAGAACATCGTCGACGGCACCTGATCCTCCTGAAAAAACGACGGTTCCATCAGAACCCTGAGCGAGAGCGTAGTTGGATCGCGTGCCCGTAGGCGCCAGGGTGCTGTTGTAAGCAGGCCAGTCACTCAGGGTCAAAGATGCGCGCTTCTCAATCTCGCCCTCCACACTGCGCGCCTTCGCCTTCGATACTGCCTGGGAGTTGGTCACAGGCGCGCCCGCCGCGTCGATCAGGACCATGCGCTTGACCACGTTTGGCGCAACGGAAAGGTCAAACGTGTACAAACTCTTGCTTCCGTCGTCTCCGTTCATGATAATTGCGCGGATCGCAGTCGTGTCCTTCAGCAAGGGTTCCCCGAGGGTCGCACCCGAGTCGGTCCATTTCGTATCGGGGTTGAAGAGCATAACCTTGCTGTTTGTTGTGCTGCCTCCAATGACAACCGCTTGTGTGTCGGACCATGTGAGGACAATGGGATTTACGACAGGCGGTGCTGACGATTCGTAGGCTCGGGTGCTGTAAGGCGCGGATGCTCCGACAACAAAAGTCTGCGTGGAAGGGCCAGAGTAACCATCCTGACTGCCACCGTACATAATAATCTGGTCAGTTCCAGGGAGATATGTTGCTCCGTGGAGAAGACGGTCCTGCGTGACGTGGTCCTGTGGTGAGATGGACTCCCATTTCCCTGTCGCGTAGGTGAACTTTTGAAGTCCGTGATAATCTGTTGACGTGCCCTTGCCTCCTACAATGTACAAGCCGGCCTTGCTAGCATCGGTGGGGTTGGAGCCAACGCAGACAGCGCCTGTCACTGCCTCGCCTTGCGCCAAGGTCTTCCATTGGGCTCCTTCTTCGAGCGAAAGTGACTGGAAAGCACCGGAGGAATATGTGTAAAGAACGTTGTTGTAAATGACCGAACAGATGTTGTCCAAAGCGACTTTGGGTTCGGGGAGCTTCATCGTGATCGTGCCCTGTGATGTATTTTTTGAGAATGGTGGATGTTGTCGTCGAGGTAAACTGGGTTCGGGGTTGAGTGGGTAGAATGCGTGTAGTCTACAGCATATCGTTAAAATGCCTGTAGAATCGTTGGGTGTTGATGCAGTTCCTCACAATGAAAAAAAAGATGGTCCGACGCAGACGGTGAGATGACTGCTGGCAGATGGTCTACTCAGCAATGGTCCAATAATCCAAATGCAACAGCCAGCGCCCTCGAGGCTTCCAAACGGTCGAAATGTCGAAGTGAGTCCGGTCGGCTGCTCCTTAGCTCGCGCGACGGGAAGGCGAAGATGAAAATCGAGCGGAGATCCCAAGGGAGGAAGAGACTGAGCCGTTGAGGTCGAGGTGGACGGGAAGTGGTTCCCTTGTCTCGGAGTTTGATCTGCAGAACAAAGTTTCTGGTGTTTCTCGACAGACGGCTAGTTCCAGATAAACAAGAAGGCCAGGACAAAAAGGTCGGACGGTGAGATAGAAGGGAAACAAGAAGCTGTTAGTTCTCCCGAGTCCTGAGGGCCTTGGTGTCGCAAGTTTTGGGTGTGGCCAAGCGGGTGGCTCGCAGTCGTTGGTCGGATTCGTTTGTGTGTGTGAGTGTGTCGTGGATATGTCGTATCGCTCTCGGGCTATTACTGCAGCTCGTGTCGGTCGGGTCGGGAGTTTCGGTGGAAGAGGGAGAAGATGGGCAAATTGCCGCGTCTAGGAATCGAAGAGGATATTGCAATGAGCGACTCTGTGTTGTTTCTGTTCTTTCGATCTCGCGAGATTCAACGTTCCAGACGATGAGTAGCAATTCCACCTCGAAAGAGCGAAAAATGCACACACGGCACCAGAAGGAGAGAAGGAGGAGAGGAAAACGGAGACCAAGGGAGAGACCAGCAGAGCCAGAGAGGAAGAGAGGCGAATGGAAAAGAGTGGTACCCTCGCTCACCCTCGTCCGACTCTCTCTCTCAGAGCAGTCGAGCGCAGCACCAGCAGCAGTAGCAGCACCAGCACCAGCACCAGCACCCGCAACCCGCAGCAGGAGTCGACCAGGTACAGCCCAAGTTGCAGGCGAAGGAAACACGAGGCAGGGATTCGGGGAATCGTGACCGGGGGTTGCCAGGAACGTCCTGGTCCCTGGCCCGGGATGGCTTGGAC